GTTAAAAATTCAATATACACTTACCCAGATAGTTTGCCAGCGCAGGTCATCGCTCGAAGTTAGTATATCAAGATATTAACTTTTTGCGAACTACTTATTAAAACCACAAACAATTAACAGCTTACAACCCACAATTCCTTTCGGTCTCAGATTTCAGATATCCGACCGACAACGTTTTTGAAATAGGTGTGAATAAATCGTGGGAAGAGGCAATCTACGCATTTTATTCGAAATCCAATATTTCATGTCATGTCTAAAGGCGAAAGCCTCAAAGATAATACTTATTTCTTTTCTTTTCTTTGTGTGACTAGATACTGATGACTGTTCGCCGAACAAGTGTCAGAACGGGGCCACGTGTGTTGATTCTGTTGGTACTTATCAGTGTCAGTGTGCTGCTGGATTCCAAGGAAGAGACTGCGAAACCAGTGAGTTTTATAGATTTATTTGGGTTTGATGATGATGATGATGGTGGTGATGATGATGGTGATAATGATGATGATGTGATGATGTGATGASGATGATGATGATGACGATGATGATGTTGATGATGATGACGTGGTGATGATGATGACGGTGATGATGACAGTGATATGATGGTGATGATGATAGTGGTGATGTTGATGGTGGTGATGATGGTGATGGTAATAACGATGATAGTGAAGATGACATTGTTGGTAATTAATGACAATGATGATGGTGATGATGATAATGGTGGTGACGACGATGATGATGATGGTAATGATGATGGTGATGGTGATGATAATGATGATGACGGTGATGATGGTGATGATGATGATGGTGATGATGATGACGGTGATGATGATGGTGATGGTGAAGATGGTAATGGTGATGATGGTGCTGATGACGGTGATGATGGTGATGATGGTGGTGGTGATGGTGATGATGATAATGATGATGGTGATGATGATGATGGTGATGATGATGGTGATGATGGTGATGGTGATGATGGTGATGATGATGACGGTGATGATGATGGTGATGGTGAAGATGGTAATGATGATTGTGATGATGGTGATGACGCTGATGATGGTGATGATGTTAATGGTGATGGTGATGATGGTGATGGTAATTAATGATGATGATGTTGGTGATTGCGATGATAATTATGGCTTTGGTTGTAATAATCAACAATATTCTTATTCTAATAATACAAAAGAAAGACATTTAATCTCAAATCGTGATTATCTCTTCAGATCACGATGACTGCAGTCCAAACCCTTGCAAAAATAACGCGACTTGCGCAGACAAGATCGATGATTACGAGTGTACATGTCCTCCAGGATACGAAGGCAAAAACTGCCACATAGGTAAACATTACTATAATTCACACGCAGACCATGTCATGCTACTTTTTATTCACCTAATGCTAGACCAGGGAGGGGAGGGAAGGGGACTATAGACATACTTAGCAATTATTCGCCGAAGGCGAAGTGAATATCGGGGAATATTTACCGAGACAAGAGTCTTCGAGCGGCGAGGTAAATATTCTCCATATTCACTGAGCCTGAGGCGAATAATTGTTTTAGCATATACCAACTTGTGTACAGAGTAACCTATTTTTATATACAATAATTCAATAAAAACAAACAAACAGAAACTTTTAGTTTGAGTGACAAATTCACGCAAAACTTTTAGCAAGCCTTTTAGGCCATACTTGGTTGCCTTTTTAGTATTGATAGGAATGACATTTACTTTCATTTTTTCAATTTCTTCATCGGAAATTGTAGCAAAACGATTGCCGGCAGATGCCATTTTGTTGCCGACTCAATATTCCGAGATTCAGAGGTGAATATCGTACAATATTCACCTCCAATTAACCAATGAGCGCGCGCTTTCTTAGGAAGTACACAAGTTGGTATATGCTAATATTTGTTATTCACCTAATGCTAGACCAGGGAGGGGAGGGAGGGGGGCCATACTCCAGTTGCTCTGTTGTTTCTCATGGTCAGCCTCAATTTAGTGCAGAATATTCACGTGTTCCAGTGAAGGTCCGTGGAATTTCAAACTGTTTGTATTGTTGAAGTTGTGCATTCTTTACTTTACTGTTGGTATTTATGAATATTTAGACACTGAAATGAAGCTAACCCTGAGTAAATAAGTCTGGAACTAAAGCAACTATAGTTATTCCACATACGTTTTGATAAATAAGTCGAAGTAATAAATAACTTTATCAAACTTTAAATCTTTCAGATAGAAACGATTGCGCTCCAGTAAATCCATGCAAAAACCTAGGCTCTTGTACCGACAAAGTCAATGACTTTGATTGCACATGCGTAGCTGGATGGGAAGGGAAAGACTGCTCCGTCAGTAAGTACTATGGGGGGAGGGGGAGCATTTAAAATTGGACCCTAAGACTGCGTTCATAATGTATGGCAGAGTGGTGGGGGGAGGGGTGCAGGTGAAATTTAGGGGGGATTGGAAACTTTTTTACCAGAAAAATGGGGAGGTTTGAAATTTTTTTTCAGAGAATTGGGAGGAATGCAAAATTTTTAGAAAAAGCTACGAGAGATTGCCCGGGGGAGATAGTTATTTTTTGGGGAACTTCAAGGGGGAGGGGGGGGGGGTTTGTCATTTAAAGATTTTTTGGTATTAAAAAGGCTTTAGCTGTGACGTCAAAGCGGCTCAATTTGGAGGACAAAACAAAAGAATTTCAAACTCTTGAGAATTGGAAACCTGTTGTTATTTTCCTCCAAATTGAGCTGCACTCTGACGTGCTGCAAGGGATTTATTCTTGGTTTGCAATCAATCCCAAGAGAGCACAATAACAAGAGGGATGTCCGCCATGTTGGAAGATATAACAAAATAATTCATTGAAAAATCTTTTGTCAAATTCTTCCAACATGGCGGCTATGACGTCTATTGCAAACGAAGAATTGAGAGAAAAAAAGGCTACTCTAACATACTGATATTTCTGCTCTAGATGCGAATGAATGCTCTCCGAATCCATGCCAACATGGTTCTTGTACAGATTTAGTCAATGGCTACAAGTGCACGTGCCAAGAAGGATGGGAAGGAATCAACTGCAACAAAAGTAAGCTTATTGAATAATRAAAGTAAGCTTATTGAATAATAAGAATGATATAATATAATATTTATTTACGTTTTGCTTACCTCTTGGCTACGCCTCGTGAATCCACACTACTTTGACAATGTGATGACGCAAGTTATCGTCAATAAGAGGACAGACACATAAAAATCTGATGTCAATTTGTTAAATTTGAACAATGTATGATAAAAAGTTTGAATTCGGTTTACTTAGGGTAAGCCTCGTATCAGTGTTTAAATATTCACAAATGCCAATGGTAAAGTAAAGAATGCACATTTTCAAGAATACAAACTTTTTGAAACATTTTTGGACCTTGAATGAAACATGTGAATATTCTGCGCAAAATCAAGGCCAATCCCGTGCATATGAGTCTGTAATCAAGACACAAAGCGGTAATTTTGGAAATCAAAAATGGTCTATTGTCAGGGTTCGTGCTACTCCTTAGACTCCTTGAAAACTCCTTGAATTTAATTCACRTTTTCAAGGGCACTTGAAAAGCTCTTGAATTTTATGATTTTAGCGAAACTCCTTGAAAACTCCTTGAATTTTTGCTTTGATCATTACTTGCATGGTTCTGAAATAGATTTAGTCAGAAAGATCGGAAAATCTGAAAGTCGGCCATGTGCAACCAACGTGTAAAGCCTTGGCATAGTTGGCTGAACATACTCAGCACGAACCCTGATAGGTAACGGTTATTATAGGAATCTATAGGAATTGTTAACGATCTTGTTTTCATGTCGTCCTCAGATAAGGATGACTGTTCCCCCAATCCGTGCCAAAACAATGGGCAGTGTACAGACCTGGTGAATAGCTATTCCTGCGCATGCGCAGCGGGATGGACTGGAAATAACTGTGACGAAAGTAAGTAAATAAATGTGACATTCTGTTGCTCCATGTGGGACCACTTTTATAATAATTGACCAATCATAATGTAAAGTAAAACAAAGCTTTCCAAAATGAGTCAATCAGTTGGAAATAACGATACTAATATCTGATTAATACCAAAACGATCAAAAAACATTTTTTTAAAATTTAAAAATTCCCTCGGTGTTTTCCTAATCTGGTGGGATTCCTGTGGTGGGTAGGTGACCGATCTAAGACTGAGTACGTGTCAACGACAAAATCCACTTTTCAAACTCGGTTTTACTAGCAAAATACAAAGCATTCAATCGAGCCTACGAGGTTCAATTTTGAATAATCCTTTCAAAATATTTTGCAGCCTCTATTGCATGCTCTTTTACCACAGGGTTCCCGAGATTCCAAACGCCAAAGAAGGCGAAAAAAGAAAGAGGCCTTTTTTATGATAATGTATTTAATATTTACATAAGATTTATTCTTTGAAATACTCTAGATATCAATGATTGTACACCAAATGATCTCTGCAAAAATGGCGGGACATGTACGGATGGCGTCGACAGCTACACCTGCACATGCGCAAAAGGATATGAAGGCAGTAACTGCGAAATCAGTAAGAACCTTGAATATCTTGTATCGATAAGGAAGCTCCTATCAATGAAAAAAGAATGAATGACTGAATAAATTTGAAAAAAATGGATAAATGAATGTCGAGGGAAAGATGAACACTGAATGAACGGACGGACGGACAGACAGAAGGACAGACGGACGGACGAACGGACGGACGGACAGAAGGAGAGGCGGACGGACGGACGGACGCACGGATAGAAGGAGAGGCGGATGGACGGACGGACGGACGGACGGACAGAAGGAGAGGCGGATGGACGGACGGACGGACGGACGGACAGACAAAAGGACGGACGGACGGACGAACGAATGGACGGACGGACGCAAGGACAAACGAACAAACGATGAAGGAAGGAAGGAATGAATGAATGAATAAGCGAATGAATGAATAAATTAATTAACTAATAATAAGAAGTGAATTAATGGTGTCGAATAAATGAATAAAAGAACGAGCAAAGAACTGAATGAGTAAATAAGCGATGAACCAATGAATAATTGATTTATATTAGTATAACAAATATCTTAATTAAATAAGTATCTTTCTGATCTCTACAGACACCAACGACTGCGACCCCAACCCATGTGCTAACAATGGACAATGTACTGACAAGGTAGCTGGGTTCGACTGCAAATGCGAAGCTGGATGGGAAGGAGATCGCTGTGAAACAAGTAAGAGCCAACGTGTAGAAAGACAATAGTGACGTCACAGCGGCCATGTTGGTATACCAAAACAATACATTTTCTATCCTCGGGGAATTGAACTTTATAGACCTCTTCGGCTTAGGGTAAGGTTGTTCCATTTCAGACCACGTGTCATTTACTTGAGAATAAGATTCTTTGTTTGAGCTGTATCCATATTCATGTGTCTTCTCATGTGCAACCGCGCGCAAGCCTTAAACAAAGAAATAATACTCTAGGGAATGACACGTGGTCTGAAATGGGAAAGCGTTACGTCAGAGCCGAAGAGGTATATTTTTATTCAAAAACTGTGCAGAAAGTTTCTATTGTTTGGTACACCAATATGGCTGCCTTGTCACGTGAGTGAAAACGCTCTATAAATGATTAACCAATTATTGATTTTTTTGATGTTTTTTTTAACTTTACACTTTATTGAATATTAAAATAAGTCAAAATACATTCCAAAAATTAAGGCTACTTAGGGGGCTTTCATTTATTAGAAAACTCATTAATAATTCATGAAGGAAACACAATAGAAATCATGACCATGAAGGTGATTTTATATCTGATATAGATTCGTCTTCATTTGCATAAACTTTAACTTGGATTTTCTCTATCAAACTTGGTTCATTTCGTAAAGAATTCGGTACAATACGAGAACATATATCATGAGTTTTCTAAGCCGTTTTTTATCGGCTACGCCTCGTATTTTATACCCGATAAAACACTCCTGCTCGTTTATTAAACAGTACTTATAGTATGAGGTTCGGCAAAATCACGTGGAAAGCTTTACAAACATAACCCCCCTCCATAGTAAAGGGAACAATTACATGACCCCCCTTCCATCACCTTGCAACAGTTCTTAACCCACTCAATAGACTAGACAAGACAAGACAACCTATTTTATTGGCTCCGTATAAACGTATTTACATTGGATTGGTGCCAATAAAAATATAGAATAATTCAATAAACTAATATTTATTTACTTCTTGTTTAAAATAATATCAGCGATCGCCGCCCATCGATCTATATATAATGTCTTTTCCTTTTTTCACCAAAATATTAATAAGTAAAATTTGTCAAAGATTCTATTGCTTTAGATTATCCCTCTTTTTAAAGCAGTCATATATATATTCAGCTACTATTTTTTGGATTGGTTTGTTTGGGTTTATGGTAACATTGAATTTCTCTTCGCTTACAGTCAAACCACCTCAAGCGTGAACACGTAGAGGTCATTAATGACTTTATTTTTGGATTCTTGATTTCATTATTCGATTCGAAGATTCATTATTGAAAAGGAATCTTCAAAGCCTAGTATATACAAGAGCAMGCATATACGCAGCTGAAATGCAAAAACAACTTTTCGTGCAAGGAATATGTAATATTAATGACTTACCTTCTGTTTCCGCTATAATCAAGAGCCTACAAGCCAAATTAACCGAATTTTCAATTTATTATTATTATTTGAATATTGAAGATTCGTTTTCATTAATGAATGTTCGAATCGAATAATGAAATCAAGAATCCAAAAATAAAGTCATTAATGACCTCTACGTGTTCACGCTTGAGGTGGTTTGACTGTAACCATTCTACTTTTTATTCAATATGTGATAACCACTTTCTCCCCCCCCCCCCCCCCACTCCTCTTCCAATATCCAAATAAATGAAAGCCCACGTAACGAAATGGGGATGCAAAACAGAGTCTCCAGACATTAAAGAAAAAGTACCTCTTTGTTTTAAGATCCCGACGATTGCTTATCCAACCCCTGTAAAAACGGCGCCTCCTGTACAGACAAGGTCAATGGATACACTTGCACATGCGCAGCAGGATGGGTAGGGAATGACTGCAGCACAAGTAAGTTTCTATTTTACTACTTCTATATTTATTCGTTTACGATAATATTTTAACATGATACTACTCTCTACTATGGTTATTTTAAACATAGTTAATGGAGGGGAATGGTTGGGAAACATATTCTAGGTTTTTGTTCGTCTTTATGCATTGTTATATGAGGTTGACCCTGCACAGAGAAAGAAACGTTGCTCCGTTTGTTCATATTATGCGGGAATATAGAAGTTTTTAACCCTAAAATACGTTCTAAAATACTAATCCTATATGATTAATACAAATTGTTTATTTAAAAGGAAATTGGTCTTTTTAATGCTTTCTTATTTATCATCTGTATCTGCGCGGAAATATTTATTCGCATGGTTTGTGGTCATCGAATAAAAGTTTTTACTTTCAAAATGTTCATACATGAAAATAATAAGGAAATGAGTATTTTCAGCCATACTTGCTTTGGTTCATTGTGCACGGTCAGTATCATGTGATGGTACGGTTCAACCTCAAACGCAAAACAATAGCTTTGTTCTATGGAGTTTCCAAACCATTCCGCTCGATTAACTATGTTTTAAAGAAGGTCCTGTATCAACAATAATATATAACGAAAATAAGCTATGGAAACAGTTTGAAGACGAAATACAAATTGATAAATACATGATTATGTAAAAGAAAATGACATGTATTGAAAAACTTGAATTCAAACTGGGAAAATTTTAAAATTTTAAATCATCGTTTGATATTATCGCTCAGGTCTTTCCATTCTTTAATGGCTTGATGAAAT